GACCACGGCTATTTTTAAACACACACAACACAACACAACTCTTTTCAGACACACACAACACATGCCCAATCCCAACGTTTTCTCTAGCCAATGAGAATGGGCTTAATTGTAAGAACCCCAATGTCAAGGCCCAATCTGACTAACCTGGTCACCCCGAGCCTACCCGAGGTAATCCGAAGGGTTACGAATTTGTTGGCTTAAAGAAGTGTTGCGGTCCAAATATTTCTCAGCCCGCACATTGCGGTTCGGCCCAATTTTAGGCCCAAGGCTGGTCCTACTTGGCCGACTTATAGGCCTAATTATTATAACAATTATTATTTTTGAAAGAGTGGTTTATTCATTATTTAATAAAAGAGTCCCTTACTTTTTTACAAGAGGGTTTTTTTCAAAAAGAATTTTGGTATACTTCTTTCTTACTTTGATATCTTGGTCCTTGCACATTTTACAATGAAGGTTATATTCCATATGAGGGAATGAGTTAGAACGTCCTGTTCAGCCACTCTATGAGCCATTGAGCATTCTTGCGCTTCAGTTATAACAAGCACAAAAGCTACTACTATAGTACTCAATATCACCCCCATCTGATTATTTAGTGCAGTAAATTGCCAGAAGTACAGGTTTATAATTAATAGTCTTGGTCCGTTGTCATTGACTGATCAACTAGTCATGGGACAGTAAATGAATAAATAAATAAAGCAATAATGCGGGTTCAATCTTGAATTTTTAATGCGAAAGCAATATGTAAGTGACTTTATATGAGAACTTTTCATTATAGTAAAAAAATTGGATGTGACTGTTTCTGAGAGTTTTTTACTGTAGTAAAACTCGAATTCTAAACTCAAATCAGTGAAATGAACGGGACAAAAATATATGCCGTTAAAATACAAAATTTATGCCATCATTTGCTTCATGCATTATACACCAACTTAGTAAGGACGAAATGAATGGCACAGAACAAAATAAATCGGTCAAAGAGAGTGGTTTTTACCTATTTTGGTCTTTCAAATTTGTAGCCGGCCTCCAAATTAAATTGTTGAGCCCGTCCTATATATCTCGGAGAAAGCAAACCCTACAGAAAGAGCTAGCAAGTAGTAAGTTATCTCGACAAAGTGTTAAACAATACTAACTTGGGATCAGTTTGTAATTATTATTATTATTATTATTATTATTATTATTATTTTAAGTGATGCTTGGCTACTAGCTGAGTCGATTATTACCACAGAAACCTCCTGCCTTGTGGCGTGGTGTTGTAGACGGGCATGCAACATTCTCGGGACAAAGAAGAAAAATACAGAAATAAATAAGGGACGGAGAAAAAGATAAACATATTGAACTTCATTATTGGTTTAGTGGGCTCAAAACTTAGCCTCGTTTGTTTTGCGGATTCAAATTTTTAATTCGAGTTGAGATGTGACATTTTTTGAGAGTTTTTAACTGTAACAAAAAAAGTTAAATGTGATATTTTCTAAAAGCTTTTAACTGTAGATTCTTAAAACTGAAAACTCAAATCGGTGAAATGAACGATGCTTTAATAATTGCTTACCACACCGAGTTAAGCTCTGTCTGGCTCCTGACTGAGTGATACATGTTTAGTCCTCAAAAAACGACGCCAAACAATGACAAACGACATCACATATCTTCCCGCAACCTGCATCAGCAAGCTTCAAATGAGGCACGTCTTTTTGGCTCACACAAGGCATGGTAGTGTATTAAGACTCTCAAAAGTTCACTCACCTAGTTTAGAATGAGCTTAACATGAAAGTTATTGTATTAATGAACTTATAACTAAAAACAAAGGTTTTTAAAGATCATATTATGAGCTTGCACCTCAAGGCCGTTCTCATTTTATGCACACATATATATATATATATATATATATATATATATAGCACAAAAAAAATAAAAGAAGAACAAAAAGATTGATACTCATTAATTCAAGGTCATTCAACTAGGGGTGATTATATGAAAGAACTCTTTGGAAATGAGTTGGTATTAGAGTTTCAATTTGATGAAAGAACTCTTTTGAAATAAGTTTTACTCAACTTGCAAACCAATGGTCTATTTCAAATCAAACTCTTATTAATCAACTATAAGTTCTACAACAAAACCAGAGTTCTAGTGGAATAACAACTCTCTAAAATTAGTTAGAATAGATTTAATTAAGTATAGGTTCATTGTGTTTAGAGAGTTCTGTTTTGTTGTCTTTTCGGTATCACAAGTCCAAGCATACATATTCTAAAGGTTTTTTGTTTCTCTTTGACCGCGAGGTCCATCAATATTTGTCTAATTTTGCATTAATTAAAAGGTTAACCTAATAAAAAAACAGGCCGAGCCCGTTTAAAAACACGATTAATTTCATGTCTAGCCAACGTAATATTTTATTGGGCAATTTTCAAAGATACTCCTTGAGGAGCTCCATTTTATTTCTACCTCTTAATATTAGTTTATATATTTCTACTTTTTAGATTAGAATTAGTAAAGGGATAATTTTTTTTTTTAAAAGGATATTTTTAATAAGTCAAGTACTTAAGCAGATAGAATCTATAATTTTTTCTACTGTCTTTTTGTTTGCATTTTACCAATATATATGATAATTTCTCAAAAGAGAAGTATCCGAATGTGCACCAGAAAAACAAGTGCGTATGTATAGAGAGTTGGTTTTTTTGACGTGAAAACGTATTTATAAAAAAAAAAAAAAAAAAAAAAAACCTTCAATCCCAGAACAAAAGTATAGTCAAGATAAAATTCTGCAAAACCATGAAAATAATGTTTCGTATCTAGACCACTTCTAATTAATGCATCAATGAATCATATGGTATTTCTGAATTCACTAGTCACTATCCCAAATTTTGACCAAAAGAAGCCAACACTCAATCTCTGCCTTAGCAACGTTAATCACATATATAGTTATTAAGAGAGTGGACTAAAAAGTAGGATTAAAAAAAAAAACGCTAATTTTAAGTGTTTATTATAAGTTACTCATATACATAAAAGCAGCAATATTAACTCCACCGCTAAATCCTTGAAAAAAAAAAGTAAAAAACCTAAAAATAAAAATAAAAGGGGTTGTTCTTTTACAATGAAATTCAGAAAAAGTTTGAACTCGAATTAAAACTTTATTCAAGTTCATGTTCTTTTGTAAAATTTGAGTTTAAATTCGAGTTTGAACTCGAGTTTAGGGCTAAACTCGAGTTTAAGTTTCCCCTTCAACTCGAGTTCATAAACTCGAATTCAAATTAATTAACAGTATTTTTTCTATTTTTAAAAATGTCATAATTTTTTCGTTGAATAAAATCTCACCCATATACCTATTAAAATTTTTCATCACCATTGAGTTTTTATTAAAATACTATCTAAATACAAATTTAAGTTTTGACCCATCCAAATACAAACTCAAAAAAATTCTCAATTAAAATCATAACTCAAATGTGCACATCCAAACACAAACTCAAGTTACAACTTCAACTCAAATTATAATTCAAACTCAACTCAAAATCATCACTCAAATCACCCCTAAAAACTCTACTGCTAAATCATATGAAAATACAAACAATTATATATATGTAAGTTTAACTATGTACGTATACATATTTACAAATACATACATGTATAGAGATTCGTTCACACAAATACTATCTAAATACAAATTTAAGTTTTGACCCATCCAAATACAAACTCAAAAAAATTCTCAATTAAAATCATAACTCAAATGTGCACATCCAAACACAAACTCAAGTTACAACTTCAACTCAAATTATAATTCAAACTCAACTCAAAATCATCACTCAAATCACCCCTAAAAACTCTACTGCTAAATCATATGAAAATACAAACAATTATATATATGTAAGTTTAACTATGTACGTATACATATTTACAAATACATACATGTATAGAGATTCGTTCACACAAATAATTCAATCATAATTTCACAATGTATTTTATCAACCAAAAAAAAAAAAAGAAATATTGTTACCTGAATCTCAGAGAGAGAGAGAGAGAGAGAGGAGTTTTTAGAGCAATGCGTCTTTTTGGTTTCTAGCCTGTAAAAGTAGTGAATGTTGTACATATTTTTATCGCCAGCAAAGAGTCAAGAAATTTTCCATTACAGTTTTTGTACAGATTTTTATCGCCAGCAAAGAGTCAAGAAATTTTCCATTACAGTTTTTGTACAGATTTTTATCGCCAGCAAAGAGTCAAGAAATTTTCCATTACAGTTTTTGTCTATGAAGGGATGAAGAGATTTTCGGATTGCCTTGGGATTTCTCTTACCTTATTACGATTTTATGTTCTACAATGGATAACTTTCTGAACCAAATACTTATTTTTATCGCCAGCAAAGAGTCAAGAAATTTTCCATTACAGTTTTTGTCTATGAAGGGATGAAGAGATTTTCGGATTGCCTGTCAAGAAATTTTCCATTACAGTTTTTGTACAGTCTACAATGGATAACTTTCTGAACCAAATACTTGTCCCTTCCATATTGGAATTACTCTTAACTGGAAATCTCATGTTAATCCATTATATATCCCACCAAATCCAGTTTTTGTTCCGCATGTAATAATAAAATTTTCGAGTCTGACTCCAAATTCATAATATTTATCCTCAAGCTTGATAGCATGGAGGTAATTTAAGTACAAGGAAAAGAAAAAAAAGAGAGATTAACAGCTCTAATAATTGTAAAAGTATAAATCAATCTCGCCAATTGAGGAAAAAGTTATTCACAGTTTTTTTTCCCCTCAATATGAGTTAAAATATATAACATAGAAAAAAGAAAACTAATTAATAGAGCAGACCAAAATAGCAATACAAAGTATACACATGAGAAGGGGGAAAAAAGAGGAATTCTAAGTGGACGTTTGGTTCATGGATTCAAAATTATGATTCAGAACTATCCTCGTTTTATGTGTGTTTTTTATGAGAGAAAAACACTGTAAAAAACCATGAATCATGATTCAGAATAAGAGACGAATACAAGAAACAAACATTCCTTAAGTATACTATTTCTTGTGGGAGTCTAGAAGAGCTTTAGAAGAGCCTCCGGTTGATGATGTATTAGTAGAAACTGTATTAGTAGAAACGGTAGAATAACTGGTAATCGAACTCTGAGTTTGGTGTTTTACTGTCCCAGTCTGAGCAGGAGATGTGTAGGAGAATCTGCACATCTCGAATGGCGGCGCGAAATACATTGCCACGGGCATCTTGGGCGGAAGTCTAGGCAATGGAGCTTGAAAATTGAGAACATTTATGACTTGCATTATAGATGGCCTAATTGTGGGATCAGGATGAACACACCACAATCCAACCACCATCAAACGCTCTATTTGCGTCTCATCGAACTCGGTTTTTAGTCCCTCGTCGACAGCTTGGAGGATTTGGCCTTTTCCATATAGGTCCCACACCCACTCCACAAGCCTGATCTTGCTTGGTTCCGCCTTTGGATCAACCGGCCTTCTTCCACAACTTATTTCAAGAGCAACCACCCCAAAACTATAGACGTCGGTTTCCTTACTAGCCATACCAATTGTGACACACTCCGGGGCCAAATATCCCATTGTCCCAGCCAGGACGGTTGTTTGCGACCCCAATTCATCGTGGTCCACCAGCCTCGCGAGCCCAAAATCTCCGAGTTTGGCATTGAAGTTTGTGTCCAACATGATGTTGCTAGACTTGATGTCTCTATGGACGACGCATTTTTCGCACTCTTCGTGGAGGTACAACAGCGCGGAGGCCAGGCCGAGGGCTATTTTGTGCCTTATGGCCCATTTGAGCACTTTCCTCTTGCCAAAGAGATGGGTGTCAAGGCTTCCATTGGGCAAAAACTCATACACAAGTATGAGATCTCCTTGTTCATGACACCAACCAATTAGTTGAACCAAATTTCTATGTCTCAAACGACTTATAATTTTCACCTCGGCTATGTACTCTTTTTTACCTTGTTTTGACCCTCTAGAGACCCTCTTAACAGCTATTTCTATGTTGGAATTTTGATCACTCAACAAACCCTTATAAACTCCTCCAAATCCACCCTCTCCAAGCTTCCCTTCCTCGGCAAAGTCGTTTGTTGCTCTACTTAGCTCCTTGTAAGTGAACCTTTTGGGCCCGGTTCCTTTTTCAAACTCACCGTCTATTGATGGATCATAATACCCATGTTTCTGCTCCTCTTTTCCACTCTTCTTTCTCCAACAGGCTAGGCCCAATCCACAGCCCAAAACACCAAAGCCCAAAGCTAAACCAATCCCCAAGGCCAGTCTCCGTTTCCCACCACCAACCTCCAAGCTTGAGCTGAATGACCAAGACAAAACGTTGTGTATTTCAATGTGTTTCCCAGTGGCTGCCGAGAAACCAATTCTAACCTCTTGAGGCAAAATCTCCCTCAAGTCAACGATGTGAGAGAGATTATATTGCCCTTGGAAGATTGGATCATGAGCGTAAGTCAAAAACACGCTCAAATTCTTAGTACTTGAGTTGTAACTCACCCAAGCATTTGCTATAGAACCGTTCTTCATGCTACTTTGCGGCCATGTCACATTTTTCACCGAGACAATAGAGTTCACATTGATCCCCACATGGTCAGCCTTCGGATCCCAAGGGTCCGCGAAACTGTCGAACTCCACCGCGACGATTTGGTTTTCGGAGGCGTTGAATGCGGTTTCGGGGCTGAAGAGGGCGAGGAATCCGCCGCTCGAGTTGTTTGGGACGTCCGAGTTGAAGGGCGCTAAGAAGAAGGAGATGCCGTCGCCGCTTCCCGCTTCGACGTCGAGTGCTTGCATGATGAAGGAGAAGTGGGTGGTGAAGTCGGTTAGGCGTCCCGTGGCGGCGTCCCATAGGCGGACGGGCTTCGAGTAGGAGGCGCGGCCGATGCTGTAGGCGAGGGAACCGAGGGCTTGGTTCTTGGTGAGCTGCAGGACTCCGCTGGATTGGAAGGCGTCGCCTTGGAAGGTTATGTGGAGCGTGTTGGGTTGGAAAGTGGTGAAGTTGAAGAAAAGAGTGTGGCCGGTTGTGGGTAGCAAGAGGAAGAGAATGATCTTGAGGAGGAAAGAGAGAGCCATTGTTGATTGGAATGGAGAGAGAGAGAGAGAGAGAGAGAGACACACACACACACACACACAAAAGAAAACAAGTTTTGAGGGGTTTTTCTTTTGGATGGTGTATTTAGTACTCTAGGAGGGACGTTGAACTATATGGTTTGTCCTAGTTCATAGCAACTTGGTTTAATTTAATATGAGAGGGTTTTTTTTTTTTGTTTTTTGTTTTTGTTTTTTTTGTTTTGGCTCTACATCTTGTGTTGAAATACCGTTAGAATTACCGCTAAATTGTCTAAAATCACGTTGGATTTTATTTTTTAAGCTGTTATTATTGAATAGTTATGGTAAGAGTTAGACACACTAAGAGTAATGAAATAGCATATAATAAATCACATAAATCACATGCACGTAAAAAATTTATAAAGGTTCACCATAATATGACTGTCATCTTTCAAGGTTTACAGTGATTTACTATCTTTATATGTCAATAATTAGACTCTAAAACTCAATTTAACAGTTAAAAAGATAAATGAATCATTCTTAAAAACAAAGGGTATGAATATGATTCCTGTTTTGATCACCAACGTTACTATGGGGTTTGATCAAATAAAAAATATATCATTACCGTCAAAACTGATGCAAAATGATCAACGTTGACCCACTAGTGAGTGGTCTGCATAGTTAGTCTTGGCTTAATTTAAATCATAAATCTTCCCGTTCATTTTGCTGATTCGAGTTTAGAATTCGAGTTGAGATGTGATTTTATGTGAGTACTTTTTACTGTAGTAAAAAAGTTAAATGTGACTGTTTCTGAAAGCTTTTTACTGTAGCAAAACTCAAATTCTAAACTCGAATCAGTGAAATGAACGGGGATCAGTTTATGATTTTGACTTTCTTTTTGCCTTTTTGTCCCCATCCATATAGCCGTTTCTCCACAATTCGACCGTAATAAACTTCTAATTATTGTATTGTTATGACGTGTTGGCCAAAATTTTTGGTTGTCCTATATATTATTGGTCTTATCCTACGAGTTTAGAAACGAAAGAAATAGATAGCTGATATAGCATATAAAGAACAGTATATACTAGACAAACAGATGAAGTTCTTTTCAGAATATATTTATTTTTTAATTAAAAAAGATACAAATGTCGGAAGAAGGTTTGTCCAAACTCATTTATAGAAATTGCCGGTTGCCGTCTAAACTTTTCCTAGTTTTTGAAGTCAAATGGAAGTACCAGCTATCCCCATATATAACTTGCTTGCGCAACAAGAGAGTCGTTTTCAGGAAATAAGGGAAGAAACAACTAGATTTGTGTATTGTTGCTCAGCCGGCCAATAATAAATATGTACTTTATAGTAGGACAATGCAATGTATGCCTTACTAACAAAAATGAGTCTTGTAACGTGAAATTTACGGATAAAATTTATCTTTTTATTAGTTATGGTGCTTAATACTGATAGTATTTCTAACTATTTATTAACAAGTATTCTTTTGTGTGGTGACCAAACTGAGCTATTAGACAAATTATGAATAAGCTGTGGTGGGTATATATGTATGTATATATTATCATCGGCGACTGAAAACAAAGAAGGCATGGGATAGCCGAGATGGTCACAGTGCTCATACATTACAACTGCGAACTCTAGGTTGTGTTTAGAATTGATCTCATTTTTATTTTTTACGTTTTTCGAAACAGAAAAAATAAAAACGTTTTTAAAACGGCGTTTGACGTAACAAAGACAAAAAATGAAAATGAAAATGATTTTTTTAGTTTAGTGTAAAATGAGAGAGAAATAAAAAACGACTTTTAGTCGTTTTTTATTTTTTGTTTTCGATTTCTCCTCTCTTGAGCAGAGAGAGAAAGAGAGACATTAATAAGTTTTTTTACACTGAAAATAATCTCTAAATAAAACTACTAAATACATTTTTAAAAATAATTTATGTCTAAAATTAAAAATGTTTGCATTTTTATTTTCATAAAAAAAATAAAATTATTTTGAATCGAATTCGAAACGCACCCCCTAATTGTTCAATTCTTTGCCAAAGAAAAAAAAATGGTTTAATCCTTTTTAATTTCCTAGCATTTCTCGGCCGGGTTTAGATATATATATATATATATATATATATATTCGATTAATATTTTTTAACCATTTTTTATGATTATAGTTAAGGACTAATGTTGTGATTGGTCCCTGTAATCTCCTAACTATTAATGGTCCCAGTGATTTTTTTTTTTTTTTAAACCACTAACGGCCCTTGAACTTGAACTTCGTTTTATATCGTCATTTGTTCCCGAATCATTAATCACACCAAAATAAGCGTAAACATAAAATTTCATCTAATTTATTTACTTATTTATTTATTTTGGAAGTTGGGGAAGCTTCATTAAGAAACTAGGGGAGTCCAGAGACATGGACTGGGCAATACAAAGAGGAAGCGCGTGGCTCTAGATGCAAAGCTTAAAGCTAGTCTAACAAGGCATGAGCCACTACAGTATTTAAGTCCTAATAGATGATCTATCTTAGAGGACGTTTGGTTAATGTATTCAGAATTATGATTCATAATTATTCTCATTTTACGTGTAGTTTTTGTGAAAAAAATACTGTAGAGAACTATGAATTCATGAACGAATACAAAAAACAAACATCTCCTTAATATGTCTATGCAAAAACTCACGATAATTTGTACTTGTTTGTTTTTATGCTAGAAGGAAAAAAAAAAATTCAGTGGTGAGCTCATGCTCCCAACTCAAATATCAGTTAGTAATCTTATAAGATCACAAGTGAAATGAAAAGAAACCTGATCTATACTTTCGTCAACTAACATTTAGAAAGTCTAAACTCACATTAGTTCAAATCGTATTTGACAGACGATAAGAAACATAGGTCATATTTGGAATTAGTTTTGTTTTTATTTTTCACGTGTTTTGAGAAAGAAAAAATGAAAACGAGAGAGAAACGACGTTTAACACAATTAAAGACAAAAAATGAAAATGAAAACGATTTTTTGGTTTAGTATAAAATTAGATAAATGAAAAATAACTTTTAGTCATTTTTTATTTTTTGTTTCCATTTTCTCATCTCTCGAGCATAAAAAGAGAGAGACATTAATGAATTTTTTTATACTGAAAATAATATTTTGATAAAATTACTAAACATATTTTTAAAAATAATTTCTATCTGAAATTAAAAATATTTTCATTTTTATTTTCATATAAAGAATAAATTATTTTAAAATGAGTTCTAAACGTATTCATAATTTCAGTGTTATCGCGCACAATGAGAATAGATTTTTAAGTGTAAGTGAAAGAGTCATGATAAATCATTCTTCGGAGCTATACCACCACCGTAGGTCATGATTAGTTTGTTTATTCACACAAATAATGCACACATGAGTATTGGGAATGTCGGAGAGAGGCCTAAGCCCAATACGGATTACTGTTTGCTCTAGGGCTTGTGCCCAGCAGTGCCCAGCAGAAGGCGTGGCCTCGGGCACTGGCCCTTTCAATTTAATTAAACGAAACATCATCGTTGTTTTTCTTCTTTATCTGTCATTGTCAAAATCAAAACGTGAGGTCTCTTTCACTTCACAGATTTAAATTTTTAATTTGAGTTAAGATGTGATATTTTTTAAGAGTTTTTTACTGTAACAAAAAAAGTTAGATGTGACATTTTTTGATAGTTTTTTACTGTAAAAATCTAGAACTGAAAACTTAAATCGGTGAAATAAATAAGACCTTATAAAATATTTTCGCTTCCTCACTTTCTCTTATTAGTTTACATTCTTAAGTTTGAATAGAAATTTAAATTTTATGTAAAAAAAATAATGTAACAAATAAAATATAAATTGTGATTTGAATATATTAGACCATACACAGAATTTCTTTGGAGTCGGGATTAATAGTTGTTTGTATTGCTACATGTGTAAGGGAACGACGTAGACCAACAATATTTAGGGGGCGTTTGGTAGAGGGATTCGTTCCCTGATTCGAATCATGATTCGTGGTTCGCTACAGTATTTTCTCTCACAAAAAATACACGTAAATCGAAAATGATTCGAATCACATGGTTTGAATCCTCCAACTAAATGAATCATTAGTCAATTCTGTTTTCTCAATGTCGTTAGATTTTATTTTGAGTTGATTCAATTCCGTTCTTTATTTCCAGATCTTTACTTTAAAATTTATGCCTCGTTCATTTTATCGATTCGAGTTTTTAGTTATAAATTTTTATAATAAAATACTCTAAAAAAATATCATGTCTAACTTTTTCTATTACAGTGAAAAACTCTCAAAAAATATCACATCTCAATTCAAATTAAAAATTTAAATCTGTGAAGTAAACGGACCTTAATGGTTGAATGAATTTCAGTTTACTTGAAAATAAAATAACAAAAAAAAGAGGCTAAACGGTGTTCCTCACTCGTTTTCTTCATTTCGTCAAATATATTTTTTTCACTTCCCTACTCATAATCTCAGGCCTCGTTCACTTCGCTGATTCGAGTTTAGAATTTAAGTTTTTTTACAGTAAAAAGCTCTCACAAATAATCACATCTAACTTTTTTACTACAGTAAAAAACTCTCACATAAAATCACATCTCAACTCGAATTCTAAACTCGAATCAACTGAGTGAACGGGCCTCAATATTTTCCAAATTCTTCACAAGACCAATTGATTATCGACCTCTCGATTTCCATACCAAATATGACTTTTCTCTCTCTATCTCCCAACTGAGCACCACATAAAACCAAATTTCAACACTACAATAATTACGACCTTCTGTGTTCCATCTTTTTCCGTTTTGGCATTTTTCCAACCACCCTTGATTTATCGAACACTTGTCTTCTAGAATAATTGACATATACATAGTTCCTAGTAAATGACACATGAGCTCAAAAAAAAAAAAAAAAAAAAAAAAAAAAAAAAAAAAAAAGATAGAAAGAGAGAACCGATATATGATATTATTACCAAACACCCTTGGTCCAAAATAGCTAGCTTTCATACTTACTTTCCGAAAAAAAAAAAAAAAAAAAATTGTCTGTTTCTTGAATTTTATGTCTGCCACTTTATTCTTGAGATTTAGCTTGTCTCGAGAAATTTGTATACTTTTCAAGGGCATATGCTAGCAACTAGCAATGGAATAGCGCAAGGTTAAATAGTGTGCTCATCAACTATACGAATTATGATCGTAAAACGTAAAAACTCAAAAGAAAAACTTTCAGCACACTAAACACCTTCCGTTGTAGTCTAGATGGTTAGGATACTCGGCTCTCACCCGAGAGAACCCGGCAACGGAATTCTTTTTTTTTTTTTTTTTCCTAAGAAAATAAAGAACATATGTCAAGATAAAGAAATTTAAAATGGCTTAGCAGTATCAATGCTCTGACATTTTAGTCCTTACATTTTGGCTTATAAGAAATTACATAGTTTCCACATTGTGTGCACGTACATAATATTAATCCCATTGAAGTGAAGAATTGGAAAGTGCACCATAATTAGGCCTCAAGGCTTGTTGTTACAAAAGCCTCGCCGGCTGTCATTGAAAACATAGGCACATGATAAACCGGAACAGGCATACTCGTTGGAAGATTCGGCCACATTGCCTCGAAATTCAGAACCTGAATCGCTTGCTTGATCGACGGCCTAAGACACCGATCGGGGTGAGCGCACCACAGCCCCACAATCATCAAACACTCGACTTGTTTCTGCTCAAAGTCCATCAGCATTCTCTCATCCACAGCCGAAAGCATCTTTCCTTTACCGTACAGATCCCAAACCCACTCCACCAATCCCATTTCCGAGTCCTCTTCCATTTGAGCAGTGGATTTCTTTCCGGTCGCGATTTCTAAAGCAACCACCCCGAAGCTGTAAATATCGGATTCCTTGCTAGCCCTTCCTGTGCTCACATATTCCGGAGCCAAATACCCTAATGTCCCAACCAACCCAGTTGTTTGAGGCCCCATGTCATGCTCCACAAGCCGAGCTAACCCGAAATCGCCAAGCTTGACGTTGAAGTTGGAATCTAACATCACATTGCTTGATTTGATATCTCTATGGACGACACATTGTTCCCATTCTTCATGAAGATATAGCAATGCCGAGGTCAAACCGAGAGCAATCTTGTACCTTGCGGGCCAAGTAAGAGGGCTAATCTTACCAAATAGATGATAATCCAAACTACCGTTTGGCATGAACTCATAAACTAGTAAGAACTCGCCTTTGTCATGGCACCAACCTATGAGCTGCACCAAATTCCGATGTCTCAAGCTACTGATCACCTTCACTTCAGTGACATACTCTTTCTTCCCTTGCCTCGATCCGCTCGAAATTTTCTTCACAGCCACAATCAAGTCCAAATCATTCAGGTACCCTTTGTAAACTTCACCAAACCCTCCTTGTCCCAGCTTCCTTTTCTCCGAGAAGTTGTTGGTGGCCGATGCTAAATCCGCATATGAAAACCTTCTCGGTCCCGCTCCTCTTTCGAGGTCGGCGTTCATCGATGTTAAGTTTACCGTCTCTGCTTCTCCCCTGTTCTTCCGTTTCCTTTTCCGAAACATAACCATAAATACTATAACCATCCCAATTATAACAACCCCAGTTCCTGAGACAATTAAGCCCACCAATAATGTCTTCTTCTTTGTGTCCTCTCTCTCCTTTTCCTTTACATCCAATTCCAAGCTTGAGCTAAACTCCCATGATTTAAGAATATGTCTTTCTGAAAAATGACTTGTTGCGGCCGAAAATCCGAAGGTGACCCACTCAGGTAGAATCTTGCTTAAGTCGATATGGTAAGAAAGACTAGTATTCTCTGTAGCATTGCGTCTTCTTCTGTAGGACCAATAGACTGATAAATGTTTTGTAGTGGCGTTGTAGTTAATATGAACATCGGCGGTGTCGCCGCTGTGGAAGCTAGCGTTCCAACGAGTGAAGACGGCCGAAGAAAGCGAGTTGTTGTTGATCCCCACGTGCTCAAACGGAGGGTCCCATGAGTTCGAAAAGGAGTCGAATTCGACGAGAAAAATCTGTTTCCGAAACGAGTCGGCCATTGTAGTGGTGTTGAAAAGGCCTAGGAAACCGGCGACTGAGTTGGGAGGCATTTCGAACCCAACCGGCGCGAGGAAGAAGGCGAGACCGGCGGCGTAGGAGGCCCGTCCGAGCGTGTCGATGGTGAAGGAAAAGCTGGTGCGGAAGTGCGAGAGGTTGTTGGTGTTAGCGTCCCAGAGGTGAAGCGCTTCGGCGGAGATGACACGGCCAACGCGACAAACGTAATCATAGTTGATGTTGAGCTCGGCGGCGCTACGTGAAGGCCCTGCGTCTCCTTCGTAAAGGATTCGCGGATCGTCGCCGTCGAACCGAGTTATGTTGAAGTGAATGGCGTGAGCTGAGGCGAGGTAGAGGTGGAGGAGGAAGAGTGAGAGGGATGAAGTTTTTGATGTCCACAAAGAGGTGTCCATGGTGAGAAAGAGAGCATAGATTAGAAAGAAGCAAGTATGCACTTAGCAGCAGGCAATGAAAAAGACGGATGCTTTGAGTTATATAGCAATGTAGAAGGGCCTTTTTTAATTTTTTAATTTTTTTAAATCTGAATGTTAAAATCTCGAAGAGCAAAAAAAAAAAAAAAAAATAAATAAAAAGAGAACCACGTGGACTTAATTAAATAAGATTAATTTTGTAATTTTACATGTTTAGATATGATTATTAAAAAGGAAGTCATGCTTTTTCCGTCTAGAGTTTAGTATGATCGGATGATAGTCAAAATAATTAATTTCTCACAACTTGATGGATTGAGGACTCAGATTGTTTTAAAAATCAATGACTAAAATTGATTTTAAAAACTAAAATTGAAATTAGCCCTAACCTATATTCCAGAGACGCAACACAACATATATGTGTAATATATATATATATATATAGATATGTTATATTGTATTATGTTATACTATATTATACAAGATATTGCTCTGATGGATCGCTCATCCACGCCACATGTAGAGTAAAAAATGTAATATGATAATTATGGAATGTAACATAATGATCATTAAATACAATATTGATTGTGTTTAGACTCTACAACTATTATTATGTTTAATGACTGTCATGTTATGTTTAATAGATCATTCATTTTATAATAAAAATCTATATCTATATAGACTCTGTTCATTTTATCGATTCGAATTTAAAATTCAAGTTTTACTATAATAAAAAGCTCTCATAAACAATTACATTTAATTCTTCTACTACAGTAAAAAACTTTCACATAAAATTACATCTCAACTCAAAAAGAAAAAGTGAAGCACGTGCCTG